AGAACTCCAAACGCAAAGTCATTAATTAAAAAAATTACGAGAGGTTGAAAACATACGATCCACAATAAGTGACGCCTTTGATTTCAACAAAATCTGGCTTTCCAATGCTAAAGAGGTTAGAATAAGCATCAATGTCCTCAGTATTCCACCCTTTCACAAGTGTCAATCTGTAAACAGTTCGCTGCTGCTTGTCCTTAAGTTCGCGCAAGGAGTCCTAGCAAATAACTTAAATGTCAGCGATGACTGATTTCCAAATAAGAACTTAGATTTATCAGCACCACTGCACGAGCAAGTTTCGCATATCAATAAAAAATGGCTAAACCAGAATTTCGAGAGAGAGAGAGAGAGAGAGAGAGAGAGAGAGAGAGAGAGAGAGAGAGAGAGAGAGAGAGAGTGGTGGGGATGAAAATGCATTTAAATTTTCCTAAGCTAGTTGTTATATCAATCAAATACTAATGGAAGCAACAGGAATTGCAATTCACAATTGAGCTGCCTCATAGAGAGATGCTTCCGGGAACAGCACAGTAAACCAAAGAAGGGTAGAGTGTCAGGCAAGATGGTGCTTTTACATTGGAGATTTTACCAAAAATTATTACGTCTAAATCAATTATTCCAAATATTATTCACTTCATTTTTTCTTTTTGTCCAAGTATCAGATTTCATCAAGAACTGTGCTCAAGTCTTCTCTGCCAATCACTGGAATATTCAATTACTTAAGATGAAAATGTCAGCATAAAGCACATACTATGAACCTTTCCCAGAAGTCCCCAAATAAGGGTCTATCAATTGCCTTCAAACTTTCCTTTGTTGCCGCATCTACACTCACATATAACTGCATATGTCCAAAAATATAAATCAAGGTCAAGTCCTTTGATGACAGTAATATTTTAAACCCCATAAATAAGAAAGAAGAGGGGAATACCTGTGTGACAGGCTTCAACATTTTAATCTTCTCAGGGAACTGTGCATTTGTTACTAGAAAAGTAGAAATATGCCTCCTGTGTAGCTCATCCACCAGAGCATTTATCTCTGGATACATTATAGGTTCACCAACAAGAGATAAAGCACAATGCCTAGGGGAGAGACCTTCAGATAAGCGTTCCTGTGTAACGCCTGTAACAATGTCACGACGAGTAAAGAGGCTCATTCATAAGTACATCTATGTAGGCAACATATGCTAGACCAGCAAAAGACCAACTTCCAACAAAAGAAATCGCACCGAAAAAATTTAAGAATCTGAAGCAATAAACCTCACCAGGAACCCCTTTCATTTGCTTGATCATTTTTGTGTGAAGCTCTATGGCAGTATCAACAATCACCAGAGGATCATCCATCTTCCATTGCCAGCTCTTTCCCACAGGGTTTGTATGATGCCTCCAGCAGAAGACACATTTGTTTGCACATGCCAAAGAAGGGGTTGCCTCCATGCACCTGTTTCGCTTCCGCTTTAGAAACATAAATGGCAAATTCTGATAATAAAAGAAACCAATGACAGAAAGATCATGGATTATGAGAATAGAAGCATAGGTAGCACTGCAAGGTCAACCTATCAACCCATCTTCTCGGTATAAACACAAAGAGGATGGCCAGTAATACGAAAGAATATAAAAATGAAAAGAAAGCAGTCATTATGTTACTAGTGACCATAAAAAAAAATGAGGATTTTCCATCTACTTAAAAAAGACTTAGTCCCAAACGCTCTGTCATAAGGAGTAAGAGTTTCAGGGTTTAACGCAGTCCAAGTCTCAGTTGCCATTATTCTTTCATCCTTATTCCTTATCCCATTAGTTCTGCAAATGTAGTTGGTTTAAAATTCCAGAAAGCCCACTGTAGTTTTCCTTCCATGAAGTACAGGGAAGGGTGGCGACCAAAAGTGATATCAACTTCTCTACAAAATGCAGCTATGCAGTAACCAGAGCTACTTTCTCACTGAGCAGACCCAACTAATTACAAATAATTAGTCCAGTCCAGGTTACATAGCCTTTTGAGTTTTGAATGTAAAAGTTAAAATACCCAGACTTAAAAACAAACTACTAGCAGCAGCACAAACTTTGCTCCATCATTTTCTCTCGATAAAAATTGCATCGCCTGATAAAAACATCAAATTGTTCCTATAAACTTAAGAAAAATATAAAGTAATAATCACCTATGACTCTCAATGCCATAAAAAGAATGCTTGTAGCAACCTCCTCGACCTCTGAGTTGTGATTTGGTCCATCTACAAATTTTCACCCCACTGTGTGAACCAATAATCTTATAGCCCTGCAGGTTGATGGCATCAAGTTAGCAAAAGAAACTAACCGAAGACACAGATGAACGGCAGGTAAAGCCCACTTGACCAGTAACATAAAGAGGGGCAAACAGAAAATGGGAACTAATAAAGACACCTACTACAGAGTTCTACAATGAATTTACCAATAAAAGCTGCTTCAATGTGAAATCATAGAGGTTGTGATGAAGCACCTATATCCATATATATATTACAGAAATACGACTTGCTGAAATTTTAACCAGCCAAGAGAACGTTATCTTATGCATTCAATTGCCCAATTCAAGAAAAGTTCAAATAGCCTCAATTGCCAATTACGCACCTGCTTCTCCAAGCTAGTTCTTATAAGAGGAGTCACCATCTCTCTCGTCCCATTAGCTTTCCCATTGATTTGGGCAACTGGCCCTGACTTCCTCGACGGCCCCTTACCTGCAATATCTTCAAGATCAACCACCATCGACTCGTCACCACTCTCTCCATCTTCATCACTCTCAAAACCACCATCACTCTCACTCTCACTCTCCCCTCCGATGCCAACGCCATTCTCCAATATCACGCCACCGTCCTCACCACCCTTCACTACCGCAATCAACTTCTGACTCCAGATATCGAAAACGCCATCGACATCACCCTTATCGACATCCCCCAGAGACACAGGCAAAATTTCCGCCGCACCCAAGGCCCTCATCTTAGCCGACAAGTCCTTCGCCACGGCATTGAAACGGGCTCCGTATGCACCGCTCCCGACGCCAAACACGGCGAACTTACACCGCGAGAGAAGCAGTGATCCCACCCTGAAGTCGGCGGCGCTCTCGGCGAGCCAGTCGGCGAGGAACCGGCCGTTCTCGGGGGGCTTCCCGTCCTCCCAAGTGGAGGCGACCATCAACACGAGGGACTCCTTCGAGAGATCCTCGGGCTCATAGCTCCGCGGGTCGACGAGGTCGAACGGGAGGCCGTTGGAGGCGAGGAGGGAGAGGAGGCGACGGGCCAGGGCTGCGGAAGTGCCGGTCTGGGAGATGAAGAGGAGCTTGCCTCGGCGGCAAGGGAGAGCGCCGCCGCCGCCGCCATCGCCGTCAGGGTCGGTGGAGGCGAGGGGGAGGTCGTGGCGGCGGCGGCGGCGGCGGCGAGATTTGTAGAGGAAGTAGAGGGTGGAGGCGGAGAGGAGAGCGAGGAGGGTTACGCGAGCGGAGAGTGACGGAGGGTACATGACGACGGTGGCGATCGGAGAGCGAGCATTTAGGGTTTTAGCGAAGAATTTGGAGCGACTGCGTGAATCGTAGAAATGAAGCAAAGCATCCTGGGCACTTCCTCTCGCAGCGACGAAGAAGAAGAAGAGAAACGAGGGTATTAAACTATTTGGGCCTGAATTTCTGAATTTGCAAAACTAGAAAAAAAAAAAAAGAGGATAATGATACTAAGGGTCCTTAAAATTTAGCCTAATGTGTAATGTAGTTCTTAATTCATGAACTTTATCTTAATGTTTAATGTGGTCCATGAACTTTTAGTACATATTCAATGTAGGCCCTAAACTATATTAAAATGTTCAATGTAGTCCGTGAACTTGAATTAATGGAATGATTACATCGAACATTTTTTACTACGCTGAACATTTTTATATAGTTCAGGAACTAAATTGAATGTGTACCAAAAATTCATAGATCATATTGCGCATTGAGTCAAAATTCAGAAACTGATTATGTGATTATCTCAAAAAGAAATTAACAAATGACGATGATATTGTACTCTGTTATCATTAAAGCCGAAGCTGAGAGAGTGCTCGCTTTTGTGTTTATCACGTCCGCATTCAACCGATAAGCTCTTAGGTTATTGATATGTCATATGCCGGTTTCTATCTTTTGTTGGAATTTAATGCGAGAAAATCGATAAAGAAAAAGTATATTTAGGTTTTATCTTTTATTGAGTTTAAACTTGACAAACAAATACGTTAGAGAATATATTATCAATTATGTTCTACCATCTCCCATTTTCTATAGTTTATTTATATTGAGTATTAATCTTAGAAAATGGATAAAAGAAAATATATCAGGATTTTATATATAATTGAGTTTATACTTGAAAATGTATAAATTATAGAATGTATTTAAAATTATACTCTTAACTAACACGATTTGTTGTGAATATAGTTTCTTAAATCTAGCTTTGTTTGTGTTCGCGAAAAATGAACAATTTGGAAAATATTTTCCTAAAAATGATAACTTGTATCACTTAATATAATTAGTCAACGGAAAATATTTACAATCTCAACAATAATTTATGTGCAAACATCTTTCCCAAAATTGAAATACTATTTTTCGTTTATTTATTTTTATTAGTGATATAAGAGATCATCTCTAAATTATTTTTTGATTTATTCACTTTTCACGAAACAAGTAAAAAATTTCGAGGTAATTATGAAGTAGGTACTCGGCCCTAGGTTTCTTGAAGTCCTCCTTCCCTCTTTTGCCTCTATGTGGCCTTCTCTTTCCCTAAGGCTACTTAACTCCTATTTCCTATCAATACCATCCCTTGTCTTAACGCTATTGGATTGATCTCCACTCTCCCAACCGATTTCAGAGGAGCGATCGTGAGCAAACACTCCATATGCATCCACGAGGTCATCTTCCATCTTGCTTCACATATTTCAATCTGTGCTGTTGACTCAATGCGAATATTTTCTTTGCATATTTGGTATTGGGAAGTTGCAGCGAACAAAAAAGGAGAGAAGAGCAAATGGGAAAAAGAAATTTCACGACTTTTAGCATGCCGATAGCTATAATCAAACCAAACCTTCCGTACATGGATGGTAACGCCCAGAGGAGTAGCTAGGACTAATACAGGAATGTTACCGCATCGGTGACCATTCTCATACTGTCACCGACAATACTCATTTAGATTACATCATTAACAATTTCCAACCGTCTCACTTCTCACTACTGTTGTACCCACATCTACGTTTAACTACAGTTTTACGAGACTGGCTTAATATTAGCTTGTCGTTGGGGAACCGGTTAAGGAATTACTGTTTGATACCGAGAGTGTTGTCGTAGATCCTGCAACTGCCAAGCGAGGAGAGATCGCAGAAGGCGTGCTCGTCGTTGAGGACTCCAAAGAAGAAGCATTTAATGAACTTGAATTCGGAGCCTTTTCTGGAATAGCATGCATATTTACTTTAATCCTGCAACACCCATTAGTTATATATCAGTTTCTTGACAGACCATTGGGTATCGACAAAATAATAAAGCCCAAGATATTGAAAAGTTCTCATTTTGTAGCAAAGAACTGGCTGTTTGCCCTGGTTGAGCAAGATGAAGAGCAATCTTTGTGAAATGTCAAGCAGGGAATACACCAGAAATAACCAGAATTTAGTAGTCTGATATGCAGATAAGAGATTGAACTTACTTATTGTGGATATTGACATATTCATCAGTCTCATCCAGTATCTCCTCCTGAAATAAGTAAAGACACGAATGGTCATCAATTGCATAAAAGTCGAGAAACCAAACAATAATTCTGACATAACTGAAGCTGCATATTATAAACCATTTCACTATACTCCGCGATATAGCTTTCTCCAGTAGTGCCATACATTTTTTTAATGCCTAAGCGAATTAGACCGTACCTGAAGAAGCTCTTCGATGACATCTTCCATAGTAATAACACCAACAACCTCTTCATTTGGGGGGAACTCCGGAATAGGGCCATTCTCAATGTCCAAAATACAGAAAGAACAACCTCTATGCCTTTTCTTAAAAGCAGGAGTGGCAGGTGGACTCTTTTTCGTTGCCCAACTTTCCTCGGTCTTTGTAGCTGCTCTTCCAGTATCATCAAACCCAAGCTTAACCCCCGGATTATTTGCAGTGCCAGTAGGAGCGACTTCGTTCTTATCTAGTTATCACCAAGCAGAGAAATTAAATTATGTTCCTGAAATCCTATGGAATATATTCCTCCACAGGATGTCAAACTAGACAAGCAGCAGTCTATCCCATCAAAAGAATTCAGGAAACAGAAACTTCAATGTATGAATATAGATGATTGTGAGAAATTAACAATCAGGTGTAAGCTTCATGACAGGGGCTCTATGTTACAACACAGCCACACAGTATGCAAAAGTCAAGGTTGAGCTCCAGAAAAGGGAACTGAAACATTCGCATGATGAAATTTCCAGAAGCTTGGTACATCCTCACCTTTTATTGATGATGCCTCAGGTTTTTTATTTTTCTTCTTAAACCTAGCCCTGAGCTCAAGATTTTCACCCTCCTTACTTTCCTGTGCCAGCTCCTTTTTACTGGTTACATCCTTATACACAACAGCAATGTGGCTATGACCCTTCTGAAATGTATTCAGAATATCATATAGCGGCATGTCCTCTGAAACCCTGTATGTATGACAGAAAACAAAACAGCTGCTGATGTCCAGTAAATTCAAATACAAGCATGGTTATCGCAGACCCATATTTTTAAAGCCGTCACCACCATTTGTTCAAATATTAATAGGTCTTATTCATGGTCAAACAGAAAATAAACAAAGGAAATGCATTTTCATACCGAGGAATTTTCCTAATCATCATTTTCCTAAGAGGAACCGAGTGATCAGGATCCACAGCTAAGAGATTTTTAACCTGCAAAGTTTCCATGTTGGAATCCCATGGGGAAAAGGATCAAAGTCAACATGGAAAGGAGGAAAGGTATGCTATAGTTCTTCCAGGAGAAAACCATTCCTTAACAATGAAAATCAGATTGATAAAAGCAGTACACACAGCTTTGATGCATGAAAAGCTATTTCACAGAATTAAAGAGCAACTCAGATATGATGCACCAAGTTCGAAAACATATCAGCAATTGCGAACATGATATTCTTTGTCCACAATGGTCGGGATGTCATTTCTTATGGTATAGCAGCAAGATTTGACCAAATTCAAGCTCGATCTAATAACCTGAGTTTCTTTCCGAATTCAGACTAACAATTAAATGACGAAGAAATGCCATAATGTTCCTGTTGAATAACGCAGCCATAGTATCACTATCATATCATCTACAAACACACAACAAGGATGCAACAAAGAAGTCTTTCAATTCTAATACGAAGTAAACTAGCTCAACTTGAATCACCTTCACAAACAATAAACTAAGAGCATAAACACAAGACACATACATTGCATTTATATTTGACAAGAGACATGTCGGTAAATTAACCCAGGAATCCTATGTCAGTGCAAAGTGATCTTGCATTTGCAGAAGGCTCATATCACTTTCAGAAGACAATACATAACTGCAATGTATAAACAAAACTATAAAATGATGCCCCTCCAGCAATGTCCATAACACTGACAGAACAGTAAAAGCACATGCTTGCAAGCCAGCAACCATCTAGCTCTTCTGACAGAGTTATGTGAGAATCTTATAAAACACTAACAAAGCGTTTAAATAACACGAACACCAAGATGTCACTGTAAAAAGAATAAAAACTACTTATCACTCTTCTCGATTACAGAGAATTCTATGTTACACACAACAAGATACAAACATCTAAATATAGTTCCCTGCTCTTCACGTCCTCAATATCCTTTCAACTTCTCACATCAATACAACACAAACAAAATGTAACTGTACTCAATGGCAGCGAAAAAAAACACCAGAACATACTTCCTGTGAAGAAATTTTACCAAAATAAGGCCAATTATATTTGCTGGATCACCGGAATAAACTGGCACTCTACTGTGCCCCATGGTTATGATTTCATTCAACGCGTCCCTGCATTGAATGAACAAAGGGTAATTAGAATATAAAAAATGCTTATTGAACAAGATTAAAAGAATAAACAAGAAACCCACAAAGTAAGAGTTGAATCCAGATCAAGAGAAAATGCCTTCGAAATAGGAGTCATTGCATCTTTTGCTGTCTTCTCCGTCATTTCTAGTGCTCCGGCGATGATTGTAGTCTCATCGTGGGTTAAGTCCCCACCCTTTCCAGCCTGAGCATGGACAAGAACATACATGTCTTGTGTAATCAGAAAACCATGAAACTGAACTAATCACAAGTCAGACAATCAGGTCTATCACAAAAAGATTAACTAGCAAAAGTTCCATGCACAATACATTTTTCAAACTGAATGAGTAGATGAATAGCTCTAGAAAAAGAGAAGTCAAGTCATTCAGAATATACTAGCATTTAGTACCTCATTGCCATGAAAATCAACAAAGGTCTTAAGCTCTGCTCTCCTCAAAAGGACAGCGTGGCCCTTGCCCAACATCCAATCTAAAACCTGTAACCCATTTATGATAAAGAAACAACTCAGAAGCAATGTTGAATGATAATTACATTAAATTATTATAATCTCAGTTGCCTAATTTGACAACTGAACTCGAAAGTGCACATTTACGACGCCTGCATTCAGTTCTTGCTCTGTCTCAATTATACCTTACTAATCGGATAAGTTATGGGGAAGAACAGCATAACAAGAACACGAACAAACGGTGCCATAAACGCACCAACTTTCAATCCATAGCGAGTACAGACCGCTTGCGGCAATATCTGCAGTTCAGAAACTGATTTAACTCAAATACGATAGAGGCCTCGCGACTCTTTAAGTCAAATCAAAGAACTCACAGTTGCATACCTCTCCAAACATGAGGATCAGCGTCACGGACATCAGAATAGCAGCCCAAGGGGGCACCAATTTATCCAAGAATATAGGAAGAGCCTACAACACAGAGAGAAAATATTTATCCCTGCAAGCTATAACCCCACAGAAACAACCCTCAAACTCAAACTTGTCTTTTTTCCCACTTCCTGCAAGAAGAAGAAGAAGAAGAAGAAGAACCACGTTCAGTACCTCCATAGCCATAGAATTGCCAACCAGAAGTGTACACAGCAGAAGATGTTGATTCTTCACCACCGGGAAAATCTTCGCTGATGACAGAGAAAAGCAAGAAAAATTCGTCAATATGGCAGCTAGATAAACAAGGAATTAAGCTAAAAAATTGAAATTCAGCGAGTTAAATCGATACAACCCCCCTAATTACATAGATATACAAAAGGGCAATCGTGTCGAATCACTTCTCCGCAATCCGCCGTATCATCTAATCAGCTTGCGATTCGGCACGGGGACACGGAGAGCATGGCTCGGTTTTGCATAATAAGGACGAAGTGGGAAGAGAGATCATCTCCCGAGCCGACGGATTATATCGAAACGAACACGAATTAGACACCGCAAGCTAACACGAATCCTAGCATATGCCGTGAGCGAATCGCTAATTCTCGAGCCAAAAAGCTCATCTAATGTAAGCAACAAAGAGGACGACCTGATCCAGCGATCGACACACAGAGAGAGAGAGAGAGAGAGAGAGAGAGAGAGAGAGAGAGGGTTACAGGCGTAGATACGTTCCCGAGGGCGACCGGACCTCATGAGGACTTCGAGGTCGACGAGGCCGAGGGACATGAGGCCGAGGGTGAGACCCGCCATGAGCCCCGCGAAGCTCACCAGCCCTATTATCACCAGCACGTACAGCAAGGTTTCAGAGATCGGCATGTGCGAGTCCGCCATCTCTCCCTCTCTCTCTGCGATCACTGCGCAGAAGCTGAAGATGGAGGAGGAGGAGGAGGAGGAGGAGGAGGAATTGCAATCGCACTGATGGAGCTATCTGTTTTCTATTTTTCTTCTCACTTTTTATTTTCTTTTTTAAATTTTCAACCAATTACCGAAAAAAAAGGGGGGGCTAATTCTAAAAAATAGTATCAACAATTCTGGCCGGAACTTTTTTTTGTCTCAATTAAAAGTATCAATGTTTACTCTAATCTCAAATCCGACCTTCGCATGTGAAATTTTCAAATTATTCTGACCATGGATGGTGGCGATTTTTTATAAGACAAAAAAGTCAGAATTGTTACTCAAATTAAAATTAATACTTCTTTTAATTAGGCCAAAAAAAACATGATGTGTCTTGTACCGACAATTGTCATTTAGGTGCGGCCATGTGGACCTATCGAAAGATGCGTCGTATTCGCAAGTAGCAACTGAGCTTATAACGTGACCGTAGGATTAGAACCCGGCCATTATCGACCGTGCGATCGAGTCCGTCAATTTTGACGAGGGTCCACGTCGTACTGCAATTTTTTCAATGTTGGTTGCGAGAATATATCTTTGTATATTTATTCTGAGCACGTGGTTCCCATCGCGTTCCATTTCATTTTCGTTTTATTATATCAACTTGAAGCCGTTTTTATTTAAAAAAATTTAAATTAAAAAATAAAATGGCTACTCGTCGAAATAAAAGATTCCACGGGGTCCCAGTGTTATCTAAAAAGCAAATCAAGGAAGCCAATAAAAAAATATGCCCAAATATGAAAGGGAGTAGGGAAAAGGTAATTTATAGGTGTTTGGCCTTTCCCTATTTCGCTCCTCGAATTTGCTCATAATTTCCTGAAATTCACTAATCAAATCGAAATATTACAAAAAGGTTGGTTGATCAGGGAGCTCAACTCTCCAAGTACAAACTCAAGTCATCTCAGCTCCACACCTCACATTAAAACATTCATCGCACTTAAATGATCGAATTCTCCCATGAAAATATGCGACATAATGGGTGTTCTCTTATTGCGTGTCGGCTCGGAACCATTTGGTCGCTCGAATTATGAGGTAGAGAGGATTGGACAGATTGCCGACCCTTGCAGCTTCAAGCGATTTCGCGAGAGCTTGTTTCAAACCACTTGGAAACACAAAGTTTTAACAAAAATAACATAATTTAACACGATTAAAAGTAATTTTGGAACAATCAAAATAGTTTGACAAGGTTTTTTATTTGGTACTTGTGTATGCGCATTGCTAGTGAGGATCGAACTTCGGACTTGATATTCTCCAGCTCCACCTACATAATCCCTTTACCAACATGGCGCATGTGTCACGAGTCAATAGTTTGGGAACGACCGATGTGGCAACTTAGGCTTCTTTGGATTGTTGGAGCGCTTAAGCCAAGCCTTTTTTCAATTGCTCACTCGCTCACCCAAATTGTAGAGGGAGAATATAGAGAGAGAAGCTCTACTAGGAGAGAATGAAAATACTTCAATTGATTTGGATGCTTCAAATGAGGGGGAGAACACCCCTACTTATATAAGGACTCGACTTATTACATCCATTGATCGACTCTTGAACGGGTGGCTGAGATCGCATATTCCCATCCACCAACTACCGGCATTTATGTCGAGAATTTTCTAGAATATGGCACAATTACCATATCGCTCGTCTCTAGGAATGTTCTGGAAGCTCCACAAGAGTTTAGACAAGTCTTTGTCGATAATGCATGGTCCTTAGTGCATGGAAACCTTGCAACCGTGACATTCTCCCCCACCCATTCGAGCGACGTCCTCGGCACTCTAGACTCGGGGGTGTGTTGGTTTCTTGGAGCATCATCGATTCTTCTGAGGCTTCTTTGTCTTTGGCTTCTCGGCTTGTCGGGCACTCGGTTCCTTTGGTTTGGCCTCCTCCATGTTGGTCGATAAGTTTGCCACCTTCGGGAATACTACATGGATCGGCAATTCATGTTGAAGGGGATGATCCACCTTTGACTTTGGCTCCGTGCAGAACTTGGTCACGGACTTCTAAACTCTTGGTCCATTGTCCACGCATCGGATCATGGAGAGGATCTTTGTCCCGGTCAATCCATGGATCATTGGCACCATTGATGGGCACTTCGAGTCGGTGATGATGATCATCTTGGTCCTCAAATCTATCATGGCTCTTGCGGTATCAAAAAATTCCATACCTAGAATGATATCATAATCATCGAGTGAAATTACCTCGAATGAGAGTTTGCCTTTCCATCCACCGACTTGGAGTTCCACGTCTTTGGCTACGCCTACAGGCTCTCTTGCTTCCCCAAGACATCTCTGTTGGTCTAATTGAGGATGCCTATAAAAGAAAAGATCAATAAAGCCAAAATGTTAGAGATGTGCATACACAAATCCATAAATCTACTACAAGCTGTGTTCTTAGCAAAAAGCTCTTAACTGTATTTGAGTCTTGCTACATTGTAATTATACTAAAAGATCAAGTGTACTGAGTAATAGCAGCACCAAATTCCTGATAGTGAGATCTATCTTTTTAAAGGATTGGTGTGTGCTAATTGTAACTTATTCAGCAATTATTAGTGTATTCTAGCCTGACTTGTGGCTGTTAGTAGTGAGAGTGGACATAGACTTATGGATAAAGCTGAACTACTATAAAAGAGAAGACATCTCCAACGGTCTGATTGAGGATGCCTATAAAAGAGAAGATTATTGAAGCCAAAATGTTAAATACGTGAATACACTAATCCAAAAATCTACTGGTTCACTCTCTTTCATTGTTAGGATGCCTATATATATATCTTTGTGTTCTACTGTTTCACTCTCTTTCAATCACATAAGCACACTATCAGCTCACAGTTTCTGAAACATCATTTGAACCTGATCTTTACTTAGCACTTACTATTTCCTGCAAAAGTTGTCAAAAATCTTGAAACAACCTATTCACCCCCTTAAGGTTGTATTATTAGCCCCATCATGTCTATTCTTTCTTTCAGCTACACCATTCTGTTGAGGTGTATCAGAACAGGAAGATTCATGGATCATACCACGTTGAGTCATAAAGTCAGAAATAGGTGCAGAAAAATACTTCTTAGCATTATCAGAACACAAAACTCTAACATCCACACCAAATTGAGTATGAATTTAAAAAATAAAGGCACAAAATATAGAAAAAAATTCTAAACGACTTTTCCTTAAATATAGCCAGGTGACTCTGGAATAGTCATCAACAAAAATAACAAAGCATCTAAAATCCAAATTGGAAACCACATGACAAGGACCCCAAACATCTGAATGAACTAACGAAAAAGGAGACACCGCTAGCTTAATGACTCGAGGCGGGTAACCAACATGATGCAATTTGCCAAGTTGACATAACTCACACTCTAAGCTAGAAAGAGATTGGAAACTATTCTGAAAACTGTGTAACAAAGGATGGCCAAGACGACAATGGATCTGATGTAGGGAAGCAACACTAGATTATGCAATAATAGATGGATCATTTTCAAGCACATAAAACCCCTTTGCCTCACATCCTCGTCGCAACCAATCCTGGAAAATATAAGAATCAAGGTAGAATGTTACTTAGTACCGAAAGTGTTTGGTTAATTTACTAACAGACATGAGGTTAAACGGAAATTGTGGGAGATAAAGCACCGAGGATAATGGCAAGGAAAGAGTTGGGTGAACTGTTCCGACTCCCTTAAAAGCTGGACATATGTATTTTCTGAACCAAGTATGTAACAACCTCACTTCACTTCGGGGGTTTATTGTTGCGACATCCCAGGCTCGTCGCCATCCTGTTTCTTTTATCTCGTTAACATGCACATGCGGAAAACGTGTATAAACAAACTCCAGACAACACAATAAACAAGTAGCCAAGAAAACACCATATAGAACACACTACTTTCATATTGCCTCAGTACATTTACAAGTCACTTTTTCTACAGGCACTTCTTGTTTATATAATTTTTCTATCCAAAAACGTAAGCCGGGAGATTCCTATCTCCTTTAGCAAGGTTGCAATTCCAAAGTCGGTTCACCATGAGGAAGAGGAGGTGAGACGTCCATACCTACAAGTCAGAAAGATAACGGAGTGAGTCGGAGACTCAGTAAGTAAAATCACTAATCCTGAGTTAGGAGGACGTCTCGTTGTCGAACCCAGCATGCGAACATCACTCGCACCACAGCGTCGATGGCAGATTAATAGCAATACTATTGATTTACCTCGACTATATGCATGTGATCAATTTTGGCTTACCGCCAAGGCACAATTTACCTTCGGCTTATCAATAAACTTAACAACAACACACATCAACATGCATAAAAGGTTCATTAACCGTCTCACACGGTTCTACCCATACTTTCAGGGGCTTCCAGCCTCAAGCTGAAATCCGAAATCCTCCGGGCATTCCATATTCTCAGGGACTTCCCATACATTTAGGGGCTTCCAGTCTCAAGCTGGGCATCTGGAATCCATCGGGCGTCCCATACTCTCAGAGGCATCCCATACTCTTAGGGGCTTCCAACTTCAAGCTAGGCATCCGAAATCCACCGGGCAACGTCACCAAAATCCATTAGTGATGGACATTTCCTTTATGTGACCACATAACAAGCATTCACGCAAACTGGATTCTTATCTTTGTTTCTTAGCCAATGCATACATAATGCCTGTGGGCATGCTCAAACGAGTGTGTGTGTCATGACCCTCACTACATGGTATGCTGAGAACAATCCTTGATTCGTGGCTTGAACCGAACGCCTAGCGCCGATCCCCGCACCTTGCAAGACTTGGAATCGGCACACCTCAATGCCAACTAAGGCCTTGCGGCTTGGTTTATCTCGTCTTAGCATTGATTCCAAACCGAGCGAACCTTGACCTTGTCCCGGGGCGTGAACACACTCAAACATGCCACATGAGCAATCCATACAAAAGCATTCCTCATTATACACACGACAAAGTACGGATAATCACACGTCTAAATTCAACAACGTAGCATATCGCCCTAGCTAAAGGCTAGTTATTTCACTTACCTAGAGATGAACTAGAGGTGGCTTGCCAATAAATGGCCTAAAAGGAGGAAGTGGTGTGCAAGGGAGAGGAAGATGAGATGGTGAGCCGAAAGTGTGGAATTGAAAGAGGGGGTCCTTCTATTTATAAGCTCCATCCTCATCATTGCTTCTTCAAGTGGTCTAATAAATTTTCTTGAAGTGGCAAGCCTACTAGAATGAGATGGCAAGTCTATTAAAGAGAGGTGGCATGTCCATTGAGATGGTGTGGCATGCCTAAGTTTCTAGGGGAATGATGAAGTCAATGTGTGCCGTTATAATTGGTATACTTGGTCATGAGTCACTTACTTTTTCTCTAAGCCAAATCTTAGGCCATTATTACCAAATCTTCATAAGGCCATCTAAGCCATGAATCACTGGCTTATTCTCCAAGCCAAATCTTTTTACCATCATTACCATATCTTACCTTGCCTTTTAAGTGGACAACTCACACGTTCATTAAATGTTCAAGATATGGTCATGATGGAGTTTGGATTTTATCACATGTTTCTTGCCTAGCTTGCTCTCCAAGCCATATTTTGGCTGTCATTACCAAATTTTCATAAGGTCACCTAAGATGATGATTCATTCCTTATATTAATGGCCAATGTTCTAGAGCCTTCGATTATGTCAATTTTCAAGAATATGGCAAACATGAGAATTAGGCCAATGGAAGCGCTAACTTGGTCGGGTATGAGTTTCTCATGTTCATCCACGATCGACCGTGCTAACCAAACCGAGTTTCGTAACCGAGTCACCATCGGATATGGCGGGTCATGGCCAAACTTGCCCAGATTGGCTAAGTCAATGGCCTACTGTGTGGGCTGTGTGGCCAGCGTTGGCCGAGTACAGGACTGGGTTGACCAGGCGCATGGCCCGTTCCTGTCCTAGCTCGCGGCCTGACAGCAGGGTCCACGGGCTGGCCGGGCACATGACCGGTGCCTGTGCCAGCTAGTGGCCTTACAACAGGGTCTAAGTTCGGGCACATGGTCGGCTCATGGCCTAGCACAAGGTCTGGCTCACGACTTGCTACATGGCCTATCGGCAGGATTGTCGAGCCAATTCGTGATTGATCCACGATCGGTCCGTGACCCATCCAAGTGGCCCATGGCCAGTTCATGACTAGTGCATGGCTAAGCATACTTGGTCCATGGCCGACTCTTGATTGTCATGTAGTTGTGTGGAATCGATCGTTCCGTGACCAATACACAATCGCACAGATCAATTCATGGTCGTCCGCAGTCGGTACATGACCATGCGGAATCACCCGCGATCGGAATATGACCGCGCGGGATCGATCCATGATCATCTATCGATCCACAGTAGTACGTGACCGTCCCACGACCAACCCTTATGGTCGAGCAGCCGATTCATGGCCGAATAGCTTAGGTCACTTGCGTGGTCATTTGATTGGTTCACTGCCGATCCCTTGATCATTCCAGGGCCGATCCTTTGATT